CTCCCGCCGCGGGCGCCTCCGCCGCCTGGCTCCGCCCCTGCCCGCCGCGCAGATGCGGCGGGCGATGACTTTGCAGAAAACGCTTAAATGAAGTAAGATGAATTAGCGACGACGGTCCCTCTTGGCTGGACGCGCGGAGGCTGAGCGCGGCAGGGACGGGGACGAGCGGCCGGCGTGTGCTGTCGCCCCACCTCGCACCCAGTGTCCCCTCACTGTCCCTGGGCTGCTGCTGCGGGCGGGCGCGAGCAGGAGGCCACACAACCCTCCCCAGCTCGGGGCAGCTCCCCCGCCCCCCAACTCGCGCCCACCCGGTCCCTGCGCCCTCGTGCGGGTCCCACGGCCTCCGGAACCCCTCCCCGCCCCCCGCCCGCTCCGTCCCCGCTGGCCTTTGCCCTCTGGTCCAGCGCTTCCCCTCACTGGGAAAGGACACACGTGCGCGCTTTGTAAAATATTCGCCGTGACTGGATCCTTAACTTCATTCAACAATTCATCCAACAAACATGTCTTGAGCCCCAATATTTGCGATTGTGAGCGAATCGGTGGGGACCCCCGCGCCACCCCGCTCCTGGGCTCGGACGGAGGGAGGCACAAGCCTGCGCTCACGGCTGTCCCTGACCCTCACACCTTCTCTGTGCTTTGAAAGGCCCTCGCGTGCTTCCAAACCATGCCGGCCCCTGCGCCCAGCTTATGTCACGTTTCTACTCCCTACTGAGGTGGTCAGCTGCATGCGATTCCCCACAGCCCTGGTAACCCGAACACCTCACGGATAACCCAGACCCCGCAGATAACCCAGTCACCCTACACATAACCCAGTCACCCCCAGATAATCCAGTCACCCTCAGATAGCCCACTCACCCCCCAGATAACCCAGTCAATCCCCAGATAACCCAGTCACCCCACAGATAACCCAGTCACCGCACAGATAACCCACGCACCCCACAGATAACCCATTCACCCTGGATAACTCAGTCACCCCCAGATACTCAGCCACCCCCCAGATAACCCACTCAACCCCCATATAACCCAGTCGCCCCCATTTATCCAGCACAGTCATCCTCAAGGCTCCCGAGGGCTCCCCCGAGTGGGTCAGCTGGGGGCCTTTCTTGACACTTTGCAGGAGAGCCAGGCCAGTCCGGGCCTCACCACCAGTGGAAGAGTCACCATCCGGGGCGTGAAGGTGGGTTCCCGGTTCTGTCTGCCTGTTCCGCTGACCGGCGCTTGTGTGAGTTGCCGGTCTGTGGGCTCCGTCATTCTCTGGTTGGTTTGCAGGAGTTCCTTATACCGGCCAGACATCAGCCCCCTTGTTGAGCAGCTGTAAATGCCACCTCCAAGTCCTTCTGTCTGTTGTGTTTATCCATGGGGTCTGAACAGAGTCTTTAATTTTGATGTTGTCAAAACCATCTCTCTCTCTTTTTTTATGGATTGGGGTTTCTCTCTGATGTCAGAGAAGCATTGTGGCATCCCTCCAGGAGTGTGACTGTTCATCTTTCTCTCTCATCCTTCAGGAGCTCAGTGAGGAAACATTTGCATATGACATTTCTATTTTGAGGTGAATCGGTCCAGGTGAAGTAACTTGTACTTTGAAGATTTTGGGAGAGGACTGTATCAGAAGATTTCAATCCAAACAAATTCCATGCGTAATATTGCTCACTTAGCACGTAAATATTTTGCTAGAAGACTACATGCATGTAGGAATGCAGCTTAGCTTTTCCCATCAAGTGAGCTGGTTTTCCCAACACTGAGGAAGTGCCCTTTGCAGAGCCCTTTATCAGGAGTCGGCCTTAGATCTGTAAATGGGTCTCTCTGTATGCTCACTGGCTCGTGTGTCTGTCCCTGCGACCTTCACTCTGGGGCAGCCGGACTGGAGGGATACTCTTCCCAAATCCTGTCTCAAGGGATGGAACTGCTCTGTGGGAACAGCCTGTCCTTTCTCCAGGTGATGTTAGCACATGGCTTTGACACACAGAGTGCTACAGCAAAACTTTTATTCCCATCTCTTTTAGGCGAACAAATTTTCTCAGCTCATATCCATGAAGATCAAAAAAAAAAAAAAAAAAAAAAATGACGAAGCCGTCTCAGTCCAGCCCTTAGTAGTATTCTCCCGTGAAGACATGAACTGTCTGCGAGGAAGCCCCACACATCGTTGAGTGATGCAGTTCCAACTCAACTGCACTCCCGTGTTTAGTTACTTATGAGAACTGGCAGTGCGTGTGTCACTTTGACTGGGTGCTTATGACAGCAGTAAGGGTGACAACCGGCCCAAGTGCTTGGCACGGTGCTCAGCCTCATACCTCTCAGCGTATGCGCTGGCCTCGGAGGAGCCGAGGCACTGAGCTGAGGCTGCTGTGTGATCAGGACGGGCCAGGTCACATGCAGGAACAGCCTCCTTTTCTCACAGCTTAGAGCACAGCACAGGGCTGTTCCATCTCACACGTCTGCCACGTGGTGGTTGGGAGCTGTCCCTGACATCCTCCCTCTGGAACCTGGCAGCCAGGCGCTGGCAGAGGGGGAGTGTCGAGCTGTCCTGCGGCGATGCTGCTGCACCACGCGCTTCTGCTCTGCTCGCGCTCGCTGGCCAGGGCTGGTCACCTGCCTTCACGCACCTGTGCATGGGGGGATGGGAGTGAAGTCTGGCTGTTTGCCCAGGAGAAGAGCGGAATACTCGTGAGGCCTACACCTTTCACACTCAGCACTTTCCGTTAGGACGCAATCCTGTGCGTGGAGTGAAATAGGGACGGGAGTCAAGAATGACAAAGTTCCTAGCTGTGAGAGATCAGCTTTGTGCCCTTTTCACGTGGATGATGGTGGACATCAAATCCTTATGGAATTTTGATTCCACTGGACACACTGAAAAGGCGACTGTAACGATTTTGCTTTAAAATGTAGTACTTATAATATACTGGGAAGTACATCATAAGCAGCTTTAAAAACAGTGAAGAAAAATTTTAGATGACTCAAAAACAACCGAGGGGACACACTGTTTTTAAGTTTTATTTAGGGGATCTCCAAACACAAAAGTTGAAGCCCCCTGTGCAGGCCACACCCACCCACCCACTTACCTCTGCTTCCGGGTGGGCAGGGATGTGTTCCCTATACAGGGCCATGCCAGTCTGGGCAGCTTTGCCTTCCCTGTGGACAAGAGGCCTCGCGGGCAAGCCTTGTGCACTCCTGTGCCTCCAGCAGCCTCCCTCACTAGCCTTCTTTCTCCCCATCCAGTCCTGCCCCTGGCACACAGGTGCACCCAGAGTCCTCTACACAGTGACCCTACCTGGTCCCCCACCATCTGGACATGCACTGGATTATGGCTGAGGTGCCCCTGGCCTATGACACTCGCCCCCCAACCCCTGCCCAGAGGCCATCCCAGCCCATCTCTGCCTGCAGGACTCCGGACACTCTCACCCTGGTGTCTCCTCATGCTGTGGTCTCTCTTTCCTACGCACCAGGACATCCAAGTCACGGAGCCCAGATCTGGGCCAGCTGGGCCTGCATGGGGGTTTAGGGCCCAAGTAGATGCAGGCACAAGTGCATGTTTTAGGGTGATGGGGGTTGTGTGAGGAAGGGGCTGAAACCCAGTCTCATGACTGATCCCAGTTCAGCTGCTGGCTGGTGGAAGGACAGAGGCAGGTCTCATGGGGACTCAGCCTCACAGGCCCAGTCATCGACTCTCTCCTAGGACTTTTCGGGGCCTTATGGGTCACCTCTTGATGTCAGACCTGTCCCCACTCCTCCCCTTGCTCACGCATATGCAAAAATTTAAGGCCTCCCTGGTGGCTGTCCTTTGATTCAGTGTTGAAGAGACACAAAAAAAGCCCCTGACCCTTGACTTCTGCTCCAGAGCGGGAGACAGAAGGCAGACAAGGCCCAGCAGAGTGGATGGGATGGAGGCATGGACGGGG